ATTTTCAGTTTACAAAATAATGTATTTGATGGATGGTTGTAATCTTTTCTAGCGACAACTCTTATGGCTCTTTTCTGCAAAACAAAAATTGGATTTGTAATAGTTTTACAAGCTTTACCCCAGGCTTCAATACAGTAAATTAAATGTGGAACAATTATTGAATTGTAAAAACACAAGCAGAGCTTTGTCATTGAATAACTCCCTGGCTTTATACAGTACTCCAATAGATTTAGATATTTTGGTTCTTAAATAATGTATGTGAGGTCTCCGTGTTAGCTTGTCATCAATGATGACACCCAGAAATTTCACCTCACTGACTTTACAGATCTCAATACCATCTACTTTAAATGAGAAATCAACAGTTGTCTAAATATCATGTAATTTGTTTTATCCAAATTTAATGATAATTTTTTTTGTTGAAACCAATTTTGCATTTTCTCAAATTCTTTCTGTACCATCTCCAACATTGTTTCTATATCTTTACCTAAACAAAAAATGTATCTTCAGCAAATCAAACACATTTGAAAAGTCCTGACACATTTACTAAGTCATTCACATATAAATAAATAAGTTAATGTTGTGCTCATTAGGAAAGGGTCACATTTTAAATGTGATGGAAGGTGAATGGGATGTTTAAAGTCATCTCACTGCCAACAAAGTAGAAACCATTTGTCACTGTTCCATTGTGAAATAATTGCAAATGAAGCGCTGGGGAGGGAAGTGTTTTGACTTCCATCACTCTGACAGTCATTCTCTCGAGTTAGCAGCACTGTTCAGCAAGTTAGGAGTTAATTCGTCTCCCCAGGCACTTCCATTGTCCCTTGATCTCCTAATGGGACTTTGCTGTTCACCTCCGCCTACATGACCTTACTGTTACAGACTCAGCTTTGTGTTTGCTTTCCCAAAGAGGTTTGCCATGAAAGCAGGGTCCCTGCCCACCCTTTGCATTTTCACTCCAAGGAACTTCCTTCCTGTAGGTGGATGTGTGAGTGGAAATCTTCTTTCTGCTCCTCTCTCCATCCAAGGTTCACTGTGCTCACCGAAGATGGTGGGTGGGTGTGCTTAGATGGCAACAGAACTGAAATGGAACTCCCAGATCTCACCGCCTACATGTCGTTCTATCATAAAGGCATCATTTCTTTTAAGTCTGGCTATCTGCCTTCTCCATGTCAGTATGGTTGTCAAGCTTTGTGTGATCTGCTGTGACTCATTCATCGCACTGAGGAGTACTGATGTTATTCCGCTCTCTTTGCAGATACAGCGGGAAGTAACGATTTTCATGTAGCTTTTAGTTTGATGTATTCGCCGCTCCTCTAAAGGCTAATGACTTTATTTGCTTTCCTGGAGCACATCAGCTGAAAAATGGTGATGTTTAACAACAAGCTTTTTGCTGAAAATGTGAACTTATCCATCAGTATAGCAGAGATGATGTATTTTTCTGTGAGGTTTCTGCTCCTAAGCTGAGAGTTTTCTAAAGGCTCGGTGTAATGCTCGCTTGCTGTTGGTGGGGTTTGTTTGAAAATTGCCCAAACCTTACAATTAAATTCCATTGTCTGTATTATTTGTGCAAATTACTAAAAAATTGCCGCAGGTTCTATCAGACCTTGACTGACCGGGGTCACAATACAAACAAATAATCAGGTCCTTGGGTAAAATTAATGGCTTGGAATTTGCCTGAATTAAATATTTACAGTGCCAGCTTGAGTGCCAAAATATGGAGGATTTAATGCACCTTCTGACAGCTCTACATTACTCGAAGAGTAATTACAGTCATTTGCAGAGAAGCCCTTAAATACATTTTTGCAAATTGGCCTAGCAAATGTTTAATGAAGAGGGGAGTTCACAACTTGTTTGGTGTGAATCACAGCAAATAAAACTGAAGCATCTGGAACCTTTCATATCAGTATTAAACACTCAAAGCAAGCAGCATTATGAATGAGCACATTTAAGCATTATAAGCAATTACAATAAATAATATTATAAGTAATATAATGTAGCTAATTTTGTCTACCAAGTGGTTTACCAACTTTACAATGAAAAAAATATCTTATTCATCTTGCTCTGTGAAAAATTGACAGTTTTTATGAATACTGAACACTTAACAGCTTTCTAATAGGGTCTCCGCGGGTTTGTGAAAAGTATTAAAGGTATTAAATTTAACTTAAGAATTTCTGTATATACCCTGAATATGTATGTCAGACAGGAAAATGACACAGGACTGTGTAGCCAATTGATATAATTTAATTATAATAACTTTAATTGACATTGATCGGCCATAGCAGTACAAGCTTTCTTTTAATTCTCCTTGTGTTTACATTTCTGAGTCGACAGAACATGAACCTCAGACCAGGCAGCAGGATGTTTATTTGCATCCTTTGGTTTTATTTGGGCTGCAGCGAGAGAGGTTCAAAGATTTGGTTTATTTTGGTGCTTCTCAATCTGTTGAGCTGGTTTCTTTGCAATTTTAAGGCAGCCTTCAGATTTACAGATCTATTTTTTATATCCAAGTCCAGAATAAGTCAGTGCTGCTGCATTGAAAGTGTTTGGTCTGCAACAATGTTTAGGTAAATGTACCTGTGAGGCTTCATTAGGTACTATGATCCAGTGTTTTTATGGCAGTAAAAATGTTCTGGTTTATAATTCACTGGTCAGCTGAGTGTTCTCCCTGCAGTTCTAAATGAGCAATGTTTGTTTTCTTTTCTGTAAATTGGCGGCTGTTCATGGTGTGTAAGGCTCCAGCCACGACTCACTGCAGGATAAAGAGCCTGTGTCTAAAAATTAAAATTTTGTAGCATCTCGCAATTATAAAGAAGACAAGATAAGAGTACTCTGTAGAATACTGCTGCTTTGTGTTTTAGTACCTTCCTGCATTTCTAAAAACACATCAACTTTCTGTTTAATTTTATCCTGATGGGCACGAGTATGATACCTGATATTTACTGCAGTGCACTAATGCACTCACTTTATTTATATTGATCAAAACCATTTCCTGAATGACTAAATATACAATACCCTCTTCATAAATACACAGTACATTAAAGTTTTTACGTAGAGTAATGCATAAACACAAATCATGACATTACTTAAAAAATGATCCTCTTTAAACCCTTTTTGTTGTGTTATAGAGGTTTTATTATCCATATTTGTAAAGTTCTTTAAGATGTTCTTTAAGAACTTTAAGAATATGTTTTCTTTTTACTCTGAATTTTTATTTTTCACATAATGTTATCCTAGAATTTCTCATGGTGCACCATTCTGCTCTGTGTAGTTCTGTGTTGAGGTTTCTCAGTTTAGCATTATGTTACATGCAGGCGTATTCCATGTGTTGTATATTGGTTTCCTCCTATTTCGGGCTGCAGATTTCTTTATGCCGCTGCAATATGAATATACAAATGCCACAGATTTATATTGTTGTAGTGAGCGCAACATAAACGTAACAGCGTCTCATAAAAGTCTGGGCATGGTTTTATAGACATGAAATTATCCCCATGTTATATTTGCCTTTCAAAGCAACCCTGTTTTTTAAGGTTTTGATATAGACTGTAGAGTAGCCATCTAGTCAGAGAACAGATTCCAGCATTTTATGGTGGGAAAGTTGTCCTTTGTTGTTGTAAAGCTACAAGCAATGAATATTAAGTGTCTCTGATGCAGCAAATATGATGATTGGCTGGTGCTGCACTGCAGTACAAACACCCTGGAGGAGTCTCAGGTCCTGTTCTCCATCCTTGCTCATCAGCTTCCACAAAGCACGGGTTCAAACTTTGAAGTTTATCTTATAGGAGTCATTCTTCCAGGAGGCATCTAGTTTATTGGGTTCCGAGGACCAAATTGAGCTGTTGTTTATCAGAATGTATCTCTTAGAATATCAAAATAATAGCTTTAGGTAAAATGTAACTTTCCCATATTTGGTGGATATTGCATAAGAAAATTCTGCTGATTAGATGTTTTCAAGTTTCCCTTGTAACCCTGTCCTAATTTATTGAACCTGTGCAAATTATAGCTACGGTTTCCTGTTCTTAGGTCTTCATTTGCTGTGTTGTGTTCGGAGTTGCTGTTCTGCATACATTGATTATAACGAGTGGTTATTTGAGCTACTGTTGTCCGTCTAGCATCTAGAATCAGTCTGTCCAGTCTTATCTGACTTTTGTCATCGAAGAGACATTTTTGTCTTCACAGCTGATGCTTACCGACCTCTCTCTGTAAACCCTAGAGATGCTTGTGTGTGAAAATCTCAGTGAATCAGCAGTTTGTGATATACTTAGATCAGCTCTTCTGGCACCAGCAACCATTCAAACGACTTAAATTTTCCGTCTTTCCCATTTCGATGCCCGGTTTGGACTTGGTCGTCTTTGTCGCGTCTAAATGCCTAAATGCATTGAGTTACTGCCATGTGATTGGCTCATTAGCTGTTTGTGTCAACAAGCAGTAGAACAAATAGACCCAGTGAAGTGGCCAGTGAGTGTAAGTTTAAACTCCTAATATGTCAGCTGAAGTTGTCTTGGAAGTTGTGCATCATTATGAAGAAAATGTTTTAGTTCTGTAGAACTCAGCTGCTGTGTCCTTTGGGCTTCTCATGTGAAGGGTGATGCTGAATTCTGCTTTTGTCTGACTCACTTGTGCTGGTTTGCATTAATGGAGGAGGTGAAATCTGCTTTTTCTCAGTCACCAGAGAAGCAGAGATTTACTGCTATTTCTGTCCTCAAACTGCTCTGTCAAGTTAGGGATTGTAATGACTTAGTCATGTTTGGTTGGTCAAAAGATATGCACTTACTTTCTGAGCATGATGGATTAGGCAATATCAGGTTTGCTAAGTGTAAGCCTTTCAGGTTTGTTAAAACTTAATACTTCTTTTGCTGTCTGTGCTAGGTATTGGCAGCCTTCGTGGCTGGAGTCAACTTTATAAATCAATGTAATTTCATCCGTTTCCAGACAGAGCTTTCAGCAATCCATTTTGTCATTTATCAGTTTTCTTTCACTGAAAGAGTGTCTCTCCTTTTCAGCTCCTGGAAGGCAGCTTCACATCTCAAGTCAGCCATGAAGTCGATGGACTTATCTTCCAGCCGTGTGGGGTAAGCCATCATCTATTTTTTTTTTTGACGGGCTGTAAATTGTCAAACCTGAAGCTGTATTGCCACAGGTTGAATGTCAGGCACAGACTTTTCCTCCACTTCTACATAAGAATCAGACAGCTTGTTACTACCAGAGGCCATTTGTCACCTCATGTAGCATTCTTACTCTCTGTCGTCGTAGAGGAAAGCACTCTGACAACTGCCCACTGATGGGTGGGTGCTCATAAACATGGGCCTCTCTGTGGGAAGATCCACAGTAAATCAGGCTTGTGGTGGTTTGCAATACGATGGAAGTGTCCTTGGTAGGAATTCTGGTTTACCAAGTTTTAGAACAGCAGAAAATCATTTTTGTCTGTGACAGTAATGCTATTCCACTTTCTTTTTTTTAAATAGACTCGGGGGACCATTTTCATTTTGTGTACCATATGAATAAATCTACATATTAATGCAAATACATGACCCTAAAGTAAGTGTTTTACATATTATCTTCAACTTTTAAAGTTCAAGCGTGAGGTGAGAGACTTGCTGTCTCAATGTTACTTTACTTTATATGCTCTGATAAGAGGTTTAAAATCTAAACTTTGTATATGTCTGGTTCAGCAGTCAAGCGTCTACATCTCTATAGGAGAGATAGGAAATAAAATTTGACTAAACCAGCTGCATTTTCATCAGGCCGCACCCCAAATCAATTTAGCTATTTGTCACTAGCTGTGTTTCCATTGAACATGAAAATGCGCAAATTAGAATTTCGAAAATAAATTTGCTCAATGAAAACACATCAATTTCAAAAAAACTTCCTTTTTTCGACAAAATGTTTTTGCGCTAGGATGAGGTGGTTTTTTGGCTGTATCGAAATTGGTGTGTTTCGCAAAACTGCAATGGAAACACTTTTTTCGCATCACGGGAGTCATGTGATCAACAACCGGCTGTTTCTATTGGCGAACAAGACAACAACGAAGAAGATAACAGGAAGTTGAAGTAATAGTAAAATCACCAACTACAATTTCCCAAAAACAGCATTCGTCGCCACTACCAAGTATAAGGGGCTTGTCGCTGGAAAGCCTCGATAAGACACCGACGTCTCCTCTGATGAGCGCTAGTGTTGTGCTAGCAGTTATGCATGTGTGTACATCCATGGCCGCCATGTTTAAATGTATTCACGCGCGACTTTAATAGCATTTCTTACGTAATGGAAACACCACAATTGCGAAACTGTTTTTTCAACATTAACAAAATATCAACAAAGTTTTGCACACATTTGCAATGGAAATGTGTCTGTCTTAGTCAGCAACACATATATTTCTCTTGGCCCTTATAATTCCTGATTCTCTGAATTTTTTTTTTTTTTTTTTGGAGATTTTGTTTGTCTGTACTTTGCTGGTTTATTGCATTCACTTCAATGACAGAATGCTACGTTGATAGATTTAGAGCTGTAATTCTACAGCTGTATTTTTAGCCACATTGCCGTCATATGTATGTGTCTGAGCACTTACTGAGCTTGAGAAAGAAATACAAAAACAATCATCAGCATCCCAGCCTTATTAAATAATTAGACTGTCAAACAGGGATTTAGATTTGCTGTGGCAGCTAAAATGATTACTGTTCAACAAGCAGGAACAGAGTAAGCGAGGCCGACAAGCAGACATCCTGTCGATGAAAAAAATCTGATTGCATAGAGTGGTCGTTGCTCAGACAAGTCACTTTTGTTGTCAGGTGCCTTTTATCACTCCCCTGATATAATTCTAGCATCTGAATCGAACGGAAGTCCTTTCACATCACTGCCAGGCTGTAGCTGATTCTCAGCTCGTAAAAAAAATTAACATCACCATGATCGTCCGTGTTCTCCTTTAGGCTTTCTGTGCTCGAAGCGATTTGTGGTTAAATCACCGTTCGTATAGTGATGTCTCCTTTTCTGCAGTTTAACGTAATTGAACGAAGGAAATCTCTCTGATCTATGAAGGTCAGCAGCTGGCTGGATCCTGCACAGCCACTCAGACATACAGGTCAGGACCTGCAAAGCTGGTACATCTAATGGGACTAAATGGTGATGCTAATAGTGAGCCATAGATTACAATTGCAAACAGAACTTTTTATTTATTATAATTTTTTTTTTTTGTCTGGAGGTTTTCATCAATCCAATAAACTGGTTTACAAATTTGATTTATTGAGCAGTTTTGCCATTTCCTATGAAAAATTATGGAACCTTTCAGGCAAAACAAATGCATTTGTCATGCGTTGAGGCAAGCAAAAGAGGCGAATTTCAGAGGAAATGACAACCGACCTGGTGTCAGCAGGGTGATAGACACAACTTTGACAACATATCACATGTAATGCAAATAGGAATGATGCGTGACTGCTGCTTCTAGGTTGATTTGAAAATAGTCCGTTGACGCGGCTCACTGTGCACTGCCAACAGAGTGGAGTGTCCAACTGTGCATGTTTTTATTCATTTACTTGTTTTTTTTTTTAAAAAAAAGGAAGAAGAACTTCTTTGTTGAAGTTGTGTTTTTGTCAGCAGGTACATGATTTGTGTGCATCTAGTCTGAATGAATTTCTTTCTTTTTAAGTGGAAAGTTATAAATGATTATTTAACATTTTGTGGTTTGCAGCAGGGAACTGAAGCATTTTGTTCAATATTCAATTTGTGCATTGAATAAAGGATGTTCTTGTGAAGTGGCTGGTTAAAAACAGTCATTTTAATACATTTACAATCTTTCTCATGTGTTTTGCTTTCTTTAATATTCAGTCAACACTAGGCCTGTCTTGATAAGCAATGAAATTAATTGCACGATAAAAGAGGTTGATAATTTTTATTTGCCTGCTTGTTTGTTTTCTTTGTTTCCCTCTTTCTACTCCTTAGCATAAGGAGGAATGAACTCTCAGGTAAAGTGTTTGCCAGGCACATGGTCTCTAAAATCTGTAGCATCAGAGCCTCGTGAACAGGTATTTAGCCAGAGGTCCGTCCTTGGTTTTCTGACGCCTTCTTTCAGCTGGCGATGCCTCAGGACGCCCTGAGGGCACCGTGCCCAAACCTGGGTTTGCTGAGAGTTTTTATTTTATTTATTATTTTTTTACACTACGTAAAATTCTAAACTTTGTCAACTGTAACTGTAAGCTGTTGTGTGCTGTTTTCACAATCTCAGGTACAACTTTATTTTACGTACATAAATTTCATAAGCTTCGTAATCCGGGGGGCAAATTGTTATATTAGTTTAAAATGATCTCCAAACAATATTATTGTTTATTGCGATAATTTCTGATGCAATTTATCATCCAGCAAAAAATTGTTATTGTGACATGCCTAATCAACTAGGGATGCAAATATTTGATTAATAGATTAATCTAAAGTTGACTGATCTTATCGACTAACGATTAACTGATAAGCGGATATTTTCCTAAAAACCTGACATTTCTCTTGAATCAAGGGTCTTTCTATAACATGAAGGGCTAATATTTTTACACTAAATAAAAAAGTACAATATTATATTTTCTAAAAAATAATTTGTGCCAGCTGTATTAAACACTGACTGAATAAACAGAAAATTGTGGATTTCTCACACAATATTAAACTTTGACATATTTATAAAATATAAAAACACAGGAATCTATTAGGTTGCTAGTTGGAAAAAAAAAAGGGGGGGGGGGAAATGTTTAAAAAAAGTAAAACATTTAATCGACCCTGAACAGAGAAATGTAAAACCAACATTTAAACACAGGATAATATTTTAATCTAAAAATTGACTCAAAAACAAACTATAAACAAGACCTGAGAGGGGTGAACATACAAACAGAACTGGAACTGTGTTTCTTTACATTCTGTGGTTCGTGCTGCCATGATCTGACATCAGTTACTGTTTATTTGATTTGTTCACTGGCCGGGTTACGTCACACAGATGAGATTAACTTCACTTTAATTATTTGTAGTGACTAACTTGTTTTGTTTTGTTCTTTCATACCGAGTTAAACTCTACAAAAAGAAGCTAATGTTAGCCACAGTTAGCTTACCGTTCTCTCTGTCCTGCTCTCTTGTCTTTAGCATCATACTGCTGGATGGTCCAGTACATTGTTATATGTCACTAGTATAGTGTTTTTTTGTTTTTCTTTTACTTATCTTTCTTTATTCTCTCTCACCCTGTCCTTTTTTGAGCTGCTGTAATGTGCAAATTTCCCCACTGTGGGATCAATAAAGTTTTATCTTATCGTATCGTATCGTTTCGTATCGTATCGTATCGTATCGTATCGTATCTCTTACAGTCTTCGGTACTTTTCCTTCCACTTTGGTTTAGTCCATTATTATTGTTGTGTCGCAAATAAAACTAAACAAGATTTGCGTGTTTAATTATGATGCTACCAACATGGAGGCGGCCGGCTCTCTGCTCGGCTCAACGTAGGGCCGAGATAGAATAGGCCAGGCTGAGAGATCAGTGGCGCCCTCTACTGGATGGAGGCAAAACTACACTGAAATAAGATTTAAACAGCTGTTTTCAATTAATCAAATGGAAGAAATTTTAATCTGATAACCATTATTCGACAATTAGTCGATTAATTGTTTGCATTCCTATAGTCAACACATCTGTTAGATATCTGCGGTTCATTTCAGCCACCAACACTCTCACCCAAAAGCATTATTTATGTTTTAAAAGTTTTAAAGTGGCTCGTATTTGCCTTCTTATATTTGCATCTTCTTTGTGAAGCATGCACAGCAGTGAGAGCTAGTATGCCTTTGTGAGAAGCTCTTAGCAGTCCTAATGCCACCCCATAGTGTGAGGATTTGATGTCTCTGTTTTGGTACCACATTCTCCTTTGGGCATTCTAGAGCTCCCTCGTGTTCGTCTCTTTCATGAAATATAACGTTTCGTGCTTGTATTTATCAACTTCAACTCATGCAGTGTTAAAGGTCAGGAAGACTTTTGCTTTGATGCTTTAATTGTTTCTCTTATTTTCACATGACGGGGTCGTCACAAAGGAAGTTGGTACGTGCAAAACAACACAAGTAAAAA